TCCAGGCCCGAAACGTCAGCTTTCCTGCTCCTCTGATGCTGCTTGACCTGCTGTGTTCATCCAGCTCGACACCTTGTTAAATCAGAAGTTGCTGCTGGATTCCAGCATTGGGAAGTCCAAGGGTACACCTCTAGAACGCAGATTAAATCTACTATTTTTCCTTCATCAATTGTTCTAACACTTGTTATTTGTTCCCCATGTACCATTATTATTACTGATAAAATGTTTTCCTATTCTGCTCAACACCCTAATGTATTCTTTGCCACAGTACTTTATTTAGTCAGTTACAGAAATTAAGGCACCCTTAACAGTGAGAAAGGCTGATGGACCCGGGGAGGAAGGGGTATCAGTGGAAGTGGGAATAAGCCACTTTAGAGGGAGGTTGGAAGCCTTGTGGGAGTGTTTAGAGACAATCAGAAAGGACCTAGAGGTAGCTAACCAGGGGATCCAGAAGGCCAGTGGAACAGCTCCTGATTCAGCAGACCCTTATACAATGTAATGGCTCTGAAAGGTTTGGGGTGTGTGAATACTGCTTTAAGTTTGACCCAATCTGATGATGTAATAAGAACCTGCATCAAGAAAGGCAGAAAATCTTCAGATGCCAAGAAGACAGTCATGTTATTCGAGATTTCCTCATTTTTTTTGGAACAATTTTGGCATGGGAGTGTGATACATGACTACAGTAAGAGAATAGGAGAGGTCAAAAAGATATTTGTGACTGGATTATGGTTCCATCTTAAATTGGCAGTACAAACCTCTTGCAGTGCCATCAGCCTATCAGACATTACTTATACATGAAGCTCAGAAATTTGGAAGATAGATATTTAAATGAATTTATTCATAGCTATACATAGAAAGAAAACTCCTATAAAGAGAACAAATAATAATGTATTTAGTCTCTTGTTTACAATCCAATTGCTAATTTTTTTTCAAAATGCTTGATTTTGTTTACATGGCTGGTTTAAAGAGTCATTTTGTTCACTTGGAGAATTTTATGGGCTATTCAATGTCTTCCAACTGTTACTATAAACATCAAGTACAAGCCCTATAATATGCAAGGTGCAAAGAGGATGTTAAGGGTGAAGAGGTGAAGGTAGGGTTTAAAATTGATGAGAAAGGTTGAATTTCAACAGATTATGAGGCCTGCCTGATAAAGCACAACCCTCAGAACTGATTCAATTAGAAAAGCTAGACTGATATTGTTGGGAATGGAGGTAAACATTTTAACAAGCCCAATCCAGTGTCATCCAAATTCCACCCTTTCATGGACCAATTAAGGTCATGGAGTTTTGAAAAATCAAATTCCCTGCCATTTTCATTAATTATCATTATTAATTAATAATGATAGTGATAATGACTCATTACTAATTCATTCTCTATGGACAAACATTTATTTTAGCCACTCACATTTCATATTCTAGTAGAAGCTTTTATCATCTGATTTCATATTTCTTGCTTGTTGGCTTCATTTATTTTTGCCTTATATGTTATTCTTTTACAGATTCCTAAAATGTTTCCAAGCTTCTGGTCTTGCACTAATTCACATTTTATTTCAATTTGGTACAATCCTCAACATCCTTAGTTAACCACATAAACGTTGTCCTTATATTTTTGTAATTGTCTTTACTTAAGTTTAAGACACTAGTTTCGGATCCATGTTTTTCACCCTCAAACTGAATATGAAATTTCATCATGCTATGATCACTCTTAGAGGATTCCTGATGATGAGGTCCTCAATCATATCTCATTTCAGATATTTGCCTGTACCCTGATTGGTTCCACAAAGTATATTTGCAAGAAATTGTCCCCAATACATTTTATAAAGTCATCCTTAAAATTATCTCTGCCAATTTGATTTGGTCAATCTATCTGAAAATTCAAGTCACACACAAGTATTTTTTTCTTAGAAAGTCTCCTTATATCTTGATTTATACTCTGTCCTCCAGTGCACCTCCTAATAAGGGCTCTGTAGATCTGCCCTTACTTTCCATATCACCGGGCTAACTGTTTATACATCATAGCCTTACAAAGCAAGATCATTCCTCACAACCATACTTATTTCATGCTTTGTTAATAGAGATACAGAATTGTTTTCCATTTTTGCTTGTTCTTCTGAAATGCTAAGTATTTCTGAACTTCCAGTTCCCAGTTTTGCTTATCTTGCAATCATGTCTCTGGAACCAGGACTTGAATGCAAAAGCCAAAGCTGACTCTCGAATATACTACTGAGTAAATTACATTACCAGAAGTTCCATATCTTGGATGAACCATTAAACTAAGGTTCTTTCTGCCCTGAAGGGTCTAGGCCCGAAACGTCAGCTTTCCTGCTCCTCTGATTCTGCTTGGCCTGCTGTGCTCATCCAGCTCTACACCTTGTTATCTCAGATTGTCCAGCATCTGCAGTTCCTACTATCTCTGAAACATTCTTTCTGCCCTCTCAGGTTAGTGTAAAAGATTGGATGGTAGTATTTCAAAGAGAAATACGTCAGTTAACCCCATTGAACCCAATAGATCAGCCATGATCTTAATAAACAGGAAAGCCAACTCGAGGGGCAAAATAACCTCCTCCTGCTCATAATTCACTTATTTGTATGTTCAACTTTGCCTTTCAGCCATCAGCAAATAGATTAACTGTTTATTATGACATTGCTGTTTTTAGAGACTTGACAAGCTTTGTTTGGTTGCATTGTTTACTTCATTACAACTGTGACTAGACCTCTACTTTAATAAATTGGTTGTAAAACACTTTAAGACATCAGGTGGGTTTTTTAAAGTATATATATTTCCTCCTTATTCTCAACACATACAAGTATTGCAAAGCACTGAACATAAGGAACACCACAGAAACGTAAATAACTGTTCCCTCTAATTCTGCAATACTCCATGAAAACAAAAGGCTAACAAAAGGGAAATGTGAGCAGTCATGAAAATTACAAATAGTTACACAAAAATAATTGAAATCCATTTGAAAGAAAAAGATGTAGATGGAAATTAGTTCAGAAAATAACATTTTTAATTTGTTGAGTCATTGTTGTTCACTTGAAGTAATATATTACTCAATGTAACCTTTACATGTCAGCAAATTACAAAATGAAAAAGGTTACCAAAGCAATGAATGTGCTGCTTCTTTTCTATTTCAATCTTACTGTCAATTGCAGAAAAGTAGATACAAGTCAACTTTTTGCTTACAATTTTTTGCAGTGAAGTTTATTGCCATTTCAGGCAACATGCTTTTGTCCAAAATGTCATCCCATTGAATGGATTGCATGTAACAAAGGTGTGGGTTAGAAATGATAGTCACACTGCCAGATAAAATTTCTGAAAGATAAAAATAAGTAAGTTATCCAAAACATGGCCACAAGGAAACCAAAAATCACACATTTCAATCCTCTTCCATTTCTCCTTTTCTGATCATTTTATCCAGCCCTTTCCTTACTTACATTAGAGATGGGTTGGCTTTTAGTCTGTGAGTGTTCTTGCCCACTTGCTGCTTGATCTCAAGAGTTGGAGACATGCACTCTACCTGAACTTTGGCATAGCAGTTGACGGAATATGGATGGCTTGCTAGGCCAATTCAAAGGATAGATATGAGTCAAATATACCGGTGTGAGATAGGGAGGCCAAGTTTTGCTTGTGAGTGAATGGCTGCCAGACATTACCTGGCAGAAGAATGGACATCATGACACATTGTCGATAAATCTTGATTCGGATTTCTTCTAAAGACAGCAAGGCAGCCGCTTGTAAAGATAAATCTATTTCAGGAAACACAGGCTACGGCTCCCCTTTGACCATCTGGCTGACATTCTGTCCTGAAATGCTGCCAATCAAGGAAATGGTCAGTTCTTGAATTTGGCAAAGTGAATTTGATCCGCTGTTATGCACTTCCTCACAGCTATTGATGAGGAACACCGGTGAGTATCAGTGAGCAGTTTTGCTGTCTGCACTCTTAGGTGAGTTAGCTGCTGCACACATTGGGAAATGTGAAAAATTAACCTTATTTAAGCATTGGTAGCTATAAGACATTTAGGTACTATTTTTGACATATCATTCCTGACAAAGACTTTTACTTGCAAGACAGCATCTTAGAATTAAAACATCTTAACCGTCAACACTGAGCTGGTGAATTTTGGGAATATTTCAAACACAAAATAAATACACCAGATTAGAGATGCCCTGATAGTTTTCTAAGAAAAAAATTACCTTGTTGATTTTATATGTACTATATGGAAAAAGCAGTCACTGCAATATTGATCATTTAAAATTTGGACATACACATCTTATCATCTGGTGTGTTTAGAATCAAGCCAATGTCTGAACTATAGAAGGCCAATTCAGAGAATTATGTCAATGAGCAAGCCACTGATTCCAGAATTGAACAAATTAATAAGTAAAAACATCACATTATTTAAATAATGCACCACCACAATGTATACGTATTTGACTAAAAAGATGACATGTAGATTATTTCATTATTTTTCTTCTTTCCCATTGGGGTCTCTGCTTGTCAAACATCAGAGATTGACATTGGGATGAAGATCTGTTCCTAGATTTTGGCCAATGCAGCAGAGTAGCAGCCAGCTCTTGAATTTTCTTTTCCCTTTTCGGCCTCTAATCAATGGTTGCCCTGACTCACAGTTAAGGTCTTGAATTCACTGTGTGGGGTAACTGTGGGTGTTAACTTCCATTTTTCCATGAGATACTAAACTTCTGCTATCGCTAACACCTGGAAGTGCAAGGACAACATGAGCACCGTACCAACTGCAAATTCTTCTCCAAGTCACAAATCATTGGGGCCGTATAGGGCTCAGTGTTTAGCACTATTACCCCACAATGCCAGGGACCCGTGTTCAATTCCATCCTCAGGCGACTGTCTATATGGAGCTTTCACATTCTCCCTGTGTCTGCGTGGATTTCCTCTGGGTGTTCCCGTTTCCTCCCACAGTCACAAAGATGTGCAAGTTAGGTGGATTGTCCATGCTAAATTGTCCATAATGTCTAGAGTTGTTCAGGCTAGGTGGATTAGCTATGGTAAATATGGGTGGTTCTAGGTGGGCTGTTCTTAGAAGGATTGGTGTGGACTTGATGTGTCGAATGGCCTGCTTCTACACTGTAGGGATTGTATAAATAAAATCATTTTGACTTGGCAATATGTCATCATATCTTTATTATCATTGGTCAAAATCTTGGAATTCCCTTTCTAGCAGCACTGCCTGGACCTACACTTCATTGATTCAAATAGTTGATCACCACCTTCACAATGGTAATTTTGGATGGGTGATGCTCACAATCCAGGAATGAATAAAAAAAAAAGTATGTTTGATCTAAAATACACTCTTATCATCTTACATTAATGAAACACATTAAACTAACCTGTAAGATTTCTCAATAGTAACTCAGTAAGTCCAAATTTCCTTTCCTGATCATTGTTTGACAAAATAACAAGGGCATATTTGTCTTCATAAAGCCGGTGACCCCGGATGATCCTAAGATTCTCCAGTGGGATACTTGAAATTTTGTTGAGGCCTATGAGGACGTAACCTGAAACTTCCTGAATACTCTGTAAATGAATAGAACATACATCATTTATTAAAGACATGAAAATTGTCTGATAGAAGATATTAACGTATTTCTGGTAATACATGCCTTATAAACAGCAATACATTATCCAAATTATAAACATTGGATATTTGTATTACTTGTAGTTTTTTGGTTTTCTCTTCTTATTTTCTCCACTGTTGTACTGCTGAGAAAGTTTCTTTGCTCAGCTACTAAACAGCGAGCATCAGTCTCCCTTCAGTACTTCACTCAAGAGTTCCAAAGTTTTCTTTGTGTCCACTGAAGGAAACACTAAATGCTGGAAACACTGGAAGATTACCGACTATCGTGTGCAGTTGATAAAGTTGGAATGAAAGTACAGCATAAGGTCAGATGGTTCAATGACGAGCGGAAGAGATCATTAACTTTGGGAGGAAATACAGAGAGGCAGAGCCCCTAGGAATTTGTGGTTTTAATGATAAATGTATCAGAAAGTGAACTATCCACCGCAGTACAAATCAGGGATAGTGCAGTCACGTTGGAGTCAATTCATGTGATTGATAATGATGTGATTTTTTGCTTTTTGAGTACCATTTTCCAGTTTGTTTGTTAGTTATGTGGCTTAATATGAATTACTGGATAATGACTTAAGGTTTTTGGTGCTGAAGCAGCTATTAATTATTTGTATGCAACTGGACTTGTCAAGAAATATGATAGTGATGATTATTAGGAAATTATACAATTTAACTTGTAAGAATGCCAACCTAGTCAAAGATTTGGATCTGTTTTAGGGAGTAACAGATGACTAAGTCAAAGGCAATTATAAGGCTTCTACAAATGTATTAATTTCATACATGACACACCGTAGTGACACTAGCAATTGAAATATTTGCATCAAGTTCCATTAATTCAGCAACGTTCAAATGTCCTGCATCAAGTTCTTGGCCGTTGATATTTCTACTGACGCACATGGCTGATAACTGAGAGAAAATGTTTCCCATGTGCCACATATTTAAAAGAAACTATAAATCACACAAAATGTTATGGGTGATTCCAATTTTTAGACGGATTGCAAAATATAACAGATGCAATTCAGCTGTAAATATCACTCAGGAAATCATATCAGATTGTTACATGGAACAAATAGTCAAAGTTTCCACTCAAGCAGCAGCACCATTAAAATCTGATCATAAGCAAGAATAAAGAAATGGCAGAGCAGACCAGAGGCAGAATGTGATCGAGTTAATTGTGGAATTTTATGGTGTTTGAAGATGGAGAAAGGATTTTATAAAATGTACCATTTTCCTTTCCCCACCCCCAACTCCCTCATGAGCTGTCTCCTACTTTCTGGGGTGCAGTGGAAACTCGGTCATCTTTATAAGACAAAGGTGGATAGATTCTTGCTGGGCAAGGGAATCAAGGGTTCTAGTGGATAGGTGCTAATGTGGAGTTTGAAACAAACAGATTGGTGGTCATCTTATTGAATCATGGTGCAGGCTTAAAGGGGCAAATGGACTACTTCTGCCCTATTCTGTATTTTTAAAAATTCATTCACAGGATGTGGGTATTGCTTACTAGGCTAGCATTTATTGCCCATCTTCAATTGCCCAGATGGCAGTTAAGAGGCAACCACATATGTAATGACATGGGAAAGGTATGTGAGTGAGGTGTTCTCAGTGCTATTTACTTATTTAGATATAGATCATTCGGCACTTCAAATCAATCCATCAAGATTTACAGATCATACCAAATTTAACAGAAGGGGTTCAAACATGGAGTGAAGGTGACAAAATAAAATATTTTATCTGCACCAAGGAGTTAGGCCAAATAATAGAAAATGGTGTTTACTGTGAATAACTGCAAAGCTAGGTGAAGTGACCGAACAGTGAAAAAATAATCAGAACAGTTTCATGCTCCAGGATGCAATGAAGGAGAAAGATCTGGAGGATGTCATATTCCAGAATTCAGCCTATTTTCCATGATTGAATTTCAGTGTAATTTTTATTAAAACAATACTAAGTTAACATAGAGCTTAAATCCACTGTACTCAGCTATCAGCAAATGAGTATTAGAACTGGACAAGAAAGCTTCACTATAAGATGATGGAAGTTCATACAAACATTCCACACCCATTAGAAGTGCCAGTGTCTGGAACAATCCATGGGAGCTCACAAGAAAGTCATACCTAAACAAACCTTTACCCAAGTAGTAATAGTCAATGTTTCTGTCTTAAGATTGCTTTTAACCTACAAACAGGTACAGTGTGGGGTTATTATTAATTGCTACATTGCGTTGCATACTTATTACAAAATTTAATTGAGTAAAGATTATATTTGCCTTGAAGAATATTCTACGCCTTTACTATTGCTTATAGTTAAAGTAATTTGATAAATTATGTTGCCCTCATCTATTTTAGTAGTGTACCTTTTGGAAAGCTGTAGAAGCACATAGAGATGGCAGCTGCAAGCTTACTGTAGCCAGTTCAAATAACACAATTTAATTGTTACGGGAAGCAGGTCAGGCAATAGTGAGAATAGATATGAAGCAGACAAAGTGAAACCTGAGGATAAAGCAAGAGGCACAGAGATGACTGGCAATAGGGACGAGTGAAACTGAACTGTGGCATTATATTTAATGCAAAGAGGAAGAACATGTTTATGTACTACTTTTCACAACCATGGATTACTCAAAAACTTGTTACAGTTAAAGAAGTATTTTTGAAGTTCTACGCCAGTTCCAATGTAGCAAACAGTTTGCACACAACAGCGTGATTTTTTTCTCAGTGATTAGGGGTTGAGCAATAAATATTCTCCACTGCATTGGAAGAACTCTCCCTTTCTTTGTCAAATACTGCCTAAGCATCCCTTATGTCAATTTTACAAGACAGAACAGATTTCTACTTAAGGACTCATTCCAAAAGCTGACATCTCCAACACCGCACTAGTCCATCAGCACTGTTCTGAAGTACCTGTCCAGATGATATCTTGCTCATCTTGAGTGGGGCTTAAATCCACAACATTCTGACTAAGATGTGACTGTCCAACCACTAAATCAATGTTGCTTACAGAGATGCTGCAAAGAGGTAATAAAAAGTCATAAAAACGACTGTGCACATGGGGCAAGTGCACATAGTTTCCAATGTTAACAAATTACACTGAGTTAACATACTGCTAAATAATTCCATTTAGTTGTTCCTATTGGCTATATTATGATAGCAATTGCTTGGCTTGATGACTCAGAACATAGCAGTGAACAGACATCCTCTTAACTAAAACATGTTTAAAAGTAACATTGGCTCAAGCTCTGATTAATTCTACAGACATTCTGAAGGGTTTACATTAATAAACAGGTGGCTGTCACTGGGTTCCCCCACTACTGTATTCAGTATAGCCAACTGTCTACAATTATACAAATAGGTATTGAAAACACACTCCATTGCATAAAAGAATTCATTTACAGAAGTTCCAGAATTTAAGGTTGAACTTGTTTTCCTTTCCATTCTGCCTTCCACCCCCATCCCATCAAATGATGATAGTTCTTTGTATTGCATTCTGCGTTAGAAAATCATGGATTCAAGATCTGCTTTGCAGGTTTCACATAATTTTGGCCAATACTTTAATGTAGAACTGAGTAATTCTACATTGGTGAAAGTGCCAGCTTTCAGATGAGACAAAATTCCTCACTAACAGACATACAGGTTCCCATGGGACAATACAAAACAGAAAGCAGAGAAATTCTCCCATGTTTCTCATGATTACTTACCCCAATAATCAATAAAACAGATCATCTGGTGCTTAATGTCACTGCTGCTTGTAGGACCTTGTTCAAATTGGTTGCCTCATTTCCCTCTATTAGAAGGTCTTAAATGTACTTAGTTGCGATAAAAGGTGTATAATGTATATTATGTATTATATTATTACTGCTGAGTTTATGACAGGCAGAGAAAACAGATCAGGGGCACTTGATTCCACAGCAGAAGGTTCAAGGTTTCAGATGAAGAAAACCAGCCACTCCAGAAGAAGTGGTTTTACTCTGTGAATTATGCAGGCTTTTACAGTGTCTACAAGTTTTCAAGCCATCCAAACTACAAAAAGGTTCAAGCCATCAAACTTGAATAATAGCTTCAGTCCAGCAGATGGAAATGGAAGCATGAAAGTACCTGACCAGTCCAAGGAACAGAATTTGAAAGAATCAGTTAAGTAGAGATTTAAAAATTTAAATACAAGTGGTATTCTCTAGATTTGAATATCTGTGAAAGGATAGTGTTTGAAAACAGTTTGAAACTTTGTTTTGATGCTGATGTCAAGATCTTTATAAATGTTCTATAATAGCCTTGTCTTATTTTCTTATTTTGTGTCATAACCTTGTTAAATTTCACTTGTTAAACTAAATTGCCAGCCTTGAGAGTATACATTCAGTGACAAAGCACCAATGTATCTAACTGCAAAATCTAAACACATATGACTGATCAAGCCAAGTTTCAAGCTGAGATCTGACTTGCCCAGTATCGTTAGCTGGGATCACAACAAAGTGGGGCCTTTAGCTGGGATTTGAATTCATTGATTTTTGAGAAGGATTTGTGTCTCTATTAAACAAGTGAGTACATGGAAGTTCTAAACATATAACACGAGTATTACCTGGATTGAACTTTCAAAACAGCTTTGAATGCTGCTAAGACATTCTTGGGTGTTGAAGATGCAACAGTGGCTTATTCGGAATTTTTGACTAAGGCTAAATTCAGTTAACAACCAAATTGAAGATAGAAAAAGAAGCAGCTCTAAGGATGACATGTTTACAGTGACCACCCAGTGTTTAATCCTGAGAGAAGGAAAACCTGCAATCGAGATATCTCAGCTAGAATAAACTGAGATTCAAATAGAATTGTAAAGCAATGGACTTAGAGAGAAAGAGAAATGAAAAGACTTGAGTTAGAGAAAACAGAGGGCGAAATGGAATTTAAACAGCATGATATTCAAAGATAGAAATCAAACAACATGAATTTGAAAGAGAAAAGTGAAGAGAAAAGCAGAAAGAAGTCCAATGAGGGAGTTGATTTAACTAGAAATCTACATAAAGTGCCAAAATTTGCAGAGGATGGAGTGAAATGTTATTTCACCTCATCTGAAAAGGCAGCTGAGAAGGCAAATTGAGCAAAAGATGTTTGGACCTTAATATTACAGAGTATTTTGATATGTACTGCTTGAAAGGTGTCTGCCAGTTTGTCAGAACAGCAATCCACAGACCAGGCAATTGTTAGAAAAGCAACACTCATAAAGCTAATCAATTTAAAGTTTAAGACTTTAAGAAAGAAACCTAATCAGATATGTTCAAAATTTGCAAGAGAAGAAGCAATTTTGATTACTGAAGTTAAATGAAAAGGTTCAGAATGTGAGTAAAATCATTGAAGAATTCCAAAATCATGAGTTTATGAAACATATTAAAGAATTTCTAGCTTTTCCTATTATTCAGAAATTCTTATACTTTGCTTTATAGTTTTACCGAATAACACCAATTCCTTTTCGGGGTAACGCAACTGACTCCTCAGATTCCTAAGCAAAACTAAAGATTGGAAAGACCAAAATGTGACTTCAACAGGGCTAATACCAGGAGACATTGGAAGGCTGGGGTGATGGGGGTGTGGAGAAGAGAGAGGGGGAGGGGGGGGGAGGAGAGAGAGAGAGCGTGAGGGACACAGCGAGAGAGAGAGAGATGGAAATCTGTATCTGTCATGGAACAGGCAATTTCCATGGGGCAGCAAGACACATGTTACACTGCTGCCGCTACTGAATTACATGACTGCTTTCATATTTGGATGTGAAAAAACATAAATATGGCACATTACCTTAAGGAACGACACATCATGGTGTGGTTGCACAAAGGTTATCTCTAGATTGCCCATCACGACTTCACAACCACTGTAGGTTCTGCGAAGACTGTTGTAATGGTTATCCTCATTTGCCAGCAAATTTAGTTTGTTTTCAAAACCCGAACAAACTGCAATAAAAGGAGAACAAATAAATACAACAATTAATAAAACATCTTTTTCCTAATCCATCCCACTTCAACACAAATGAATCTGCAGAAAGCAATTTACTTCACATTGCTTAATTTTATGGAGAACAGCCCAAGTTGCCCGTAAGTGCACTTGAAACTACTTGGGTGCAGTAAAGTATATGGAAAATGAAAAGACGTATACCTAGTGATAATAGAGTGTGATATTACTGAATTATGTTTGTGAACCTTGCTAACGGCACCCAAACATAGAGATTTAATACTACTATCCCATTTTCGTTGGGTAGAAATAGATACTCAAAAAAATTGAAAATTAAACTAGATCCTGTTGCTAAAATCTGAGCATTCCAATTATTAAAAAAAAGGATTTAAAGTTATACATACAGTTGTTAAAAATGCAAATCTTCGCAGCAACTGATAGTAGAATTGAAGAAAATAAGACATTAGGTCAGCTGTATCACAAATATTGATTTCAGTACAAAACCAGATTTCTTTGGCATCCTGTCAAACTGTCATAGCATTACACTATTCAGGCAATTTCAAGGATGCAGCACTGCGAACAAGTGGTATTGGTGCCAAGCAGTTGTGCTTTGAGAGAGAAGGCGAATGTGAGATTGATACTGAAACAAACTCGACCAAATAAGAGGGCGTTTTACCCCACTTTGTGGTCTGTTCAGCTCACCATCCTGAAACCACACCAGATTTAAACAACAACAATAGTAACTTATACTTAAATTAGCATCCTTAATATGGTAACACATCCCAAGGTGCTTCACAGGAGTATAAGGTGAAGTATGACACTGAGGAACATAATGTGCCATTAGGTCAGGAAAGATTAGTTGAAGATTTTAAGGAATGTCTTAATGTAGGATACTGAGGCAGAGAGCACAAGAGGCGTAGGGTGGAAATTCCAGAGCCTAGGACCGAAGTAACTGAAAATTTGTCCGCCGATGTTACAGGTTTGCACTGAAGCTAAACATAAGAAGGGCACATGGATCATTTAAATGTATTTACAATGCAGCTGAACCTTTCAAATCAGTAGCTGTAGCTTGAACTCCGGCCAAGGAGAACTCAGAATGTCTGGCTCCTATGTATATTAGGATGTGAAGTGGCTTGTTTAAGGGAACATTTGGGACATGTCTGAATACATGAATACAGCTGTCTCCTAAAAGTTAAAAGCTGAAATTCTTAAAGGGAGGGGGGAATTTCCACTCTGTAAAGAACATCTGAGAGCTTTGCATGCTAGGGTCAGTACTGCACTGAATTTGCACATCAAGTCTATCAGATTGACGTGGTGCAAAGAAAGGGGATTGCAAGTCAAAGTCATAGTGGAATCACTTTATGCCAAATTGATAATCACAATGTATTCTAAAGTTTAAAGACATCAATTTCTGTGCAACACTTTTTATTTATTCATAAGACGTAGGTGCCATTGGTTGAGCCAACATTTATTGCCCATCACTGAAGCGGTTTGCTCGAGGCTTTTCAGACAGCATTCAAAAGTCAACAATATTATTGTGGGTCTGGAGTCACATGAAGGCCAGACCAAATTAGGACGAATATCCTTCCCTATTAGTGAATCAGATGGGTATTTACAACAATCGACAACGGTTACATTTTAAAATCCAGGCTTTTATTGGGATTGAATCCCACCGTGGCAGGTGATGAAATTCAAACCCATGGCCCTAGAATATTATATTGGGGTTCAGGATTGGGGTCCAGTGATTTTACACCACCACCAACCCAATTGGAAACTACTTTTCTGGTTTAATACGGTTAGGCTGTAAATATTAACACTTCAGGCTGAAGTTTACTTCACATCTGTGCTCAAACAGACTAGCAATCAAATTGCAAACAAATTATCTGCCTCAAACTTGGGGATTAGGTGTTTAACTGCAATACACTCATGTTTCATTGATCTTTATGTTCATTCATTAAATAGTCAATCTGCACAAATTACCACCCACAAAATTGACCATAACTCCCACTCTCAAAATTTGAGCAATATCCTATTGTGCTTCTTTCAGGGTTTGCATAGTCGCAACCAGCTTTTCAGCTGCAGCAAGAAAAAGAAAGTGCATTATTTTTAGCCTTTTGATGTAAAGGTCTTCTCCTATACCGGACCCTATTTTGTTTATAGCATGTGTAAAAGTCACATTTAAAACTGATAAGTTTTCCGGATCACAGATCTTAAATATGCTGTGCCTGATGTGAATGTATAACTGTTAAATAAGTTGTAACTTAACATAGAACATAGAACATTACAGCGCAGTACAGGCCCTTCGGCCCTCGATGTTGCGCCGATCTGTGAAACCAATCTGAAGCCCATCTAACCTAAACTATTCCATTATCATCCATATGTTATCCAATGACCATTTAAATGCCCTTAAAGTTGGCGAATCTACTACTGTTGCAGGCAGGGCATTCCACGCCCTTACTACTCTCTGAGTAAAGAACCTACCTCTGACATCTGTCCTATATCTATCACCCCTCAATTTAAAGCTATGTCCCCTCGTGCTAGCCATCACCATCCGAGGAAAAAGGCTCTCACTGTCCACCCTAACGGCCTCTTTCTTTGGTACCCTTTTACTTCCTAATTCCATCTAAGAGTTGCCTTGCATGTTGTGAGCTTTCAGAGTTCATTTAGTTTTTTTTGGAATTCAAACAAGTATTCAACGTAGCTCCGGAATTCACTTTGAATTATTGTAGAAACATAGAAACCACCACAGGAGTAGGCTTTTTGGCACTTTAAACCTGTTCTGCCATTCAATAGGATCATGACTGATTCACTTTATTCCTGCTTTCTCCCCACGTCCCTTGATGCCTTTAAAATATAGACATTTATCTTTCTCTTGAATATATTCAGTAACTAGTCCCCTTCAGCCTTCCCTGATTTGGAGCTATGAATTGTATGCTGAGAGCTGAAAGTAACCTTTGAATTGCGAGCAGCAGCTTGTTTTAAAAAATGAGAGGAGAACAAATAAAATGATATTTGTTTATGAAACATTTCTTCACTTAAATCCTAAATTTTATGGCTGAATTTGTGTTTGTGGTTTCATTGTGCACTTTTTTTTTCCTGTTGAATTGTGCCCATTTTAAGCTTGGGTCTTATCTCAAAAGCTTGGCAAGATATTTAACACTGGTGAAAAGGCAAAACTGACTGCATTTCCAGTTCTAACTTGGCTATATTGCATCTAAAGAGGAAAACTACAGAGCTACACTTTTAGATCTAAGCATACTGATCGCAGGGAAAAGGGAACCAATGTAAATTTAATTATATTACGATGGTAAGTATTTGCAATTTTAGCATTACAAATCTTTGCTAAGAAGCAATAATATGGACTATTCCTGTCAAGGGTTCATTTTCTCACGATGTGTCTAATTATATTGCAAATTGGTGTCACTGCAGTGCATTCGGTTTTGCTGTTCAGACGTCAAGCTTACAGTAAATTTGAAAAGAGCTTTCCCAATTGGCACACTACTGTTAAGGAGAAGGGAAATTGGAGGAGGTTGAGAAGTTAGCAAGACTCCAGTTCCTGATTGCTATCCATGAAAAGTATGTATGTGAACCTGAGGTGAAGACAGGATCAAATTCAGCTATGATCTACCAGACAGCTGAAAATTGCTGCTACAGAATCAAAGCTAACATAAACTGCCTCTGTTCCGAGGTACCCAAGGACTGTCAATATGCCTTTGGGACCATTCACCAGTATCAGTTATTAACTTCAGGAAAGGGAAGAAGCTGAAGAACTTGGGGAAGGTTCTAAGTCAACACAGTGTGGAGCTGGAGGAACACAGCAGGCCAGGCAGCATCAGAGGAGCAGGAGAGTTGATGTTTCGAGTTGGGGCCCTTCTTCAGAAATGGGGAGGGGGAAAGGGGCTGGGAAATAAATACAGGGAGGAGGGGTGGGGTCGGGGGAGGGAAGGTAGGATGGTGATAAGTGAATGCAGGTGGGGGTAAGTAGGAATTGGTCAGTGGGAAAAGGTAGGGCGGATAGGTGGGGAAGAAGAGCTCCTACCCTCCATCCTCTCACCTCCTTGTCCTGACCCAACCTGTCCATCTTCTTTCCCACCTATCCGCACCACCCTTTCCACCAACCAATCCCCACTGCCCCCTATCTGCATCCACCTATCACCACCCCACCTACCATCCCCAGCCCCACCCATCCTCTCTCGATTTATTTCCCAGCTCCCTTCCCCCTCCCCAGTTCTGAAGAAGGGTTCCAACCCGAAACTTTCCTGCTCCTCTGATGCTGCCTGGCCTGCTGTGTTCTTCCAGCTCCACACTGCGTTATCTCTGACTCCAGTATCTGCAGTTCTTGGTATCTTCAGGAAAGGTTCATAGGTGTCAGTTTTAACATTTCCAAGACTTCCTGATACAATGATTTACAGCTGTGATATTATGAAATTTTGTACAAGGATTGTGCAAGATTCAGGCATAATTATCTGTAATACAATATCAGTCTGCCTGGCACACCTTGGGCAACATTCCAAAAAAACCATGACTTAGAGAGTTGCTGTTACTTTCTTTTCTCCAAAAGTACACACTAGAGGTCAGTCTTCAACTTAACAAGCATTGAACAGCATTGGGAGTACTGCACAGCACACTGTATAAGCTTCTTAAACAGAATCACATCTTCAAATCCCCAAGTGCGTGCACTGAGGAGCAAGCAATGGCAGATGGTCAAACACTTGCAAGTAAAATCAGATTGATGTCTTATGTGGCTAATATATTGCAGGTAGTCCAAAATGAGTCTTATTTTGTTCATTATTATACCAATTTATCATCATTGTAAATTCAAGAAAATTGAGAGAACATGTGGCCTGAGGACTGGTTCATGACCATTGCTGTAAGAATAACACGGTGGCTCAGTGGTTAGCATTGCTGCCTCACAGCGCCAAGGACCCAGGTTCGATTCCACCCTCGGGCGACTGTTTGTGTGGAGTTTGCACATTCTCCCTGTGTCTGCGTGGGTTTCCTC